AGAGAGAGAGAGAGAGAGAGAGAGAGAGAGAGAGAGAGAGAGGGAGAGAGAGTTAGTTTATAAGGTTTAAAAAAATGGCGGTCGCACTTTGAACTAAGACTAAGACAGGAAGTAGAGTTGGAGATGTTTTAAATATCGCCATTCTCTCCAAGTGACAAGTAAAGCTCATCTTGCTGCATTACTGAAGAGAAAACAAGTTTTTGTGATCGAGTACAATTTCGTGGGTAACAGTCGACAACTAACTTCCCTATACGCTGGCGTCTTTAATTAGTTAATTAATGAATATTAATTAATTAATTAAAATTAATTAAAATTAATATGACATAATTGAGTTGCAGGTGCTGCAAAACTATTTTTAAATTAAAAAAACATTAACACGTATAACATGTATTTGTTTTGACTGTTCAGGAAACATATTTGCACCCGATCATAAAAATCAATGCTTTCTTTTCGACTTTGTTGGCGAGAATCTAATTAAGTGTGGAGTTTTATCTAAATAAATCCCTTTTCTCATGCGCAAGGCTTGAAGTAAGGATACGGGAAATTTTGTCTTGATCGATAAATGAAAACGGTCACAAAAGCATACACACGAGAACGCTTTAGACAATGGGACAATTTAAATTATATTTAATTACAGACTATTTGAAAGCGGGACAATGTTGTAAGTGCGCTAATTTTTGTTTCCACTTGTCAGGTAAAAATGGCTCTTTGTCCCGAGGAGAAGGACCTTTCCGATCTTTCGATGTGATGTCACATGCGCGACTTCGAAGAACATATTCCATGAAAATATTGTCAAAGGAATGTCAAAAGAGTCAGGCCACAAGAGCAGGGACAGACCAGGCAAAACTTGTCTGGGTGGTGTTAGAGAGATCATGTAAAAGAATAATCAACAACAGAAGCCTCCCGCATAACCTTTGATTTTAAAAAAGTGCAGCTATCCTCGAAATCTAACAATATGAGAGGATGGATAGAGTAAAGTAAGGGGTAAAAGGAAAATAAAGGAAGTGCAACATTAAGAGAGCCGAAAGAACAATTCGCATTGTCTCATTTGCCGTTTAAAAAGCACACCTTTCCACAATATTATAAGCTTCTATGCAAACTGAATAATGTATTTCATTCCAGGGGAAAACGAATGCCAATAAGACAAGATTGGACCTTTGAAACACACAATTTTTAAACTGTAGTACCGTATATTATGAAAAAGAACTTTTTTCTCTCTGGGTGATACATTCTTATGTTAGCTGTGCACACACTCGAAAATCGTTAACGACAAACGTAATCTGGCTTGTTTTTAGGTAAACGGGCACGCTACATCTGTTGACAATTCTGCCTTCTTCCCCCCTCTGGAAACATCGGCATTCACACTTTGTTGTAAATGTCTTCAGTCTGTGAACGAAATGCCAACTAACGGTGCATGGTGGGTTTTTTTCCGCTGGGGTAAAGATATTATATTATGTTCCACAGTGAAAAAGACAGGTACGGACAAAGTATTTTGTTGCGTATAACCTCAATGCATCTACACCCCCCCAACCCCTTTTCCCTCTGAAATGGCGCGTCAGGTTTCTCTTGCCAGTACTGCAGACGCACACAGAGAGGTTGGGGAAGAGGGGGGGGGGGGGGG